CTCGGGTCATCATCTACCGTCATAGATCCAATAACACAATAAATCTAAATATACATCTAAAACCAAACTTGTAACTCAAATCCAAAACCAATATAAAATCCGAAACAAAATCTAAAACCAATATGAAGCCTACAACGCAAATCCAAATTTAATATCGATGATGCAACTCATACTAAAATCCATAACCAAAATCCATGATGTAAAAATCACAGATAAAGTCACGAATAAAAAAATTCAAAATACAGTCCCAGATGTTAACAAAAAAAAACAAACCCATACTCAGGTGAAGCCCCCTTTCATCGGTAGTAGAAGAACAGCCATCTAATACCTTCACCACTTCACGCCGATCCACAAGCTACTATCAACCTCCTCTATTTTTCATATATCTAACACCACCGGCAATTATGGACGTTGACATGCGGCAACGCTACAGAAGAAAATCAGAGTAGAAATGCGTTGTGATGTCAGGGTTGTAGGTCAAGAAAGGGGAATGGGTGATGCAGGCTCCGGTGAAGGGAGAGAGTGCAGGCATCGACAATGAAGATGAAGGGGTGATACTCCTGAAGTATAACGAACGGTGAGTAAGTGAGTGGGTTTCTGAAAATTGACATTAGAATCAAACTCAAGATCGACTTGGAAACTTAAAATCAAACCTCAAACTATAATCAAACTTAGAACAAACTTGAAATCAAGTGTAACCGGTGATATACGGTTGGTTTGGGGCGCCGACAACATAAAAGGGACAACGGAAAAGGGCAATGTTCGAAAGCATGCTTCACCCCCACCTTCTCCAATGAACGTCGCCAATATGCCTTGAAGGAAGAACATGAGCTAAAGACCACCATCGTTGGACACTGGTGGGGGGCAACAAATGTTGTGGTGGAGGATGGTGGTTGGGCCGGTGGTCGATGAAGGAAGAAGGAAGGAGAGGGCGACGGGAGAAAATGTGAGAGAGGGTGGGAACTAGGGATGAAAGTGGGTCCAAACCCGGACCCGATGGACCCGGACCCGGAAAACCCGGAACCGTTTAACGATATTTTTAAGAACCAGAAACCGGACCGGTATATAGGAACCGGGTCCGGTTTGATTCCGGGTAAAGTGGGTCTAGAACCGAAAAACCTGGAAATAGGAAAGTGGGTAAAGTAGAACCGAGTCAAATGGGTTTAGAACCGGAAAACCCGGATTTTTTTTATTACCCATAATCTTTCAACCGTTATAAAAAAATTAACAAACAAAAAATTACATTTAGGTTATTAGGTTATTGACGACATTGATTTATTTAAAAATAAATAAATAAATAGATGTAACAATATTGGTTTAAAAAAAATGACATTTAGGTCATATCACAGTTAGTTAACTTACGTGTCTTATTTGATCAAGTTGATCCATTTTTTTTTATCACTTGTACGTTGATTCTTTTATTATTTTTTTTTAAAGAAACTATGTATTTGACTATTGGATAATTTATTTTGGGTTGTGTGTTTTAATTTAAGATATGTTAAAATTCTAAATTGCTATTTATTTATTTATTTGCAACCACACTAACTTGTTTTTTTGCATCTTTGATCTTGAAGGCTTCAACTTTGAAATTTTGAACATAAAAGCAAGAGACAAATTTTTTGACATTAGCAATCTTTTAATTTTCATGTTTTGTCAACATCTCACAACTTTTCATTATAAATAGGCTCTTCCACCTCTACATTTTCATTTAACTTATTATTCTCTAAGTTGAAGGTTTTGAGTTGTTTTTTCTTTTCAAGAACATTCATGGAAACTAACCTCCCAATTCAAGTATGTTTCTTTTTAATTTTATACAAATATGCATTTAAAGTAATTGACTAATTTAGGTTTTTATACTTCAATTAGGTTCCGTTTTGAATCTATTAATTTTATAACTTTGATACTTCATTTTTTACATGCTTTAAATCTACCTAGATTTTTTTTACTTAATTTGTTTAGCATTTGAATTTGAAGGAGAGGTCCACATGTTGGCAACATTTTGATATGTTGTGGGTAGTAGAAAATGATGGGGTTGAACGAAGGCAAGCAAGGTGTAAGTATTGTTTCACTACACTTAAAGTCGATCCATCAAGACACGGTACAAGTAGTCTTAATAGACATTGTCGTACGTGTGCCAAAAATCCGAATAATATAGATATGTAATAAGTTTTGTGCTTTTAATTTATTTGGTAACATTTTTTTAATACTAAATATGTTTATTTTTGTTTTATGTATAGAGATTGAACATGCGTTAACTCGACAAGATGGTCAAGGAATAAGTGTTGTTTTGTTCTTAATTGTTTAAGAATTTTGATTTGAATTGTTTTGAATATTAGACTTTGATTTTGAATTGTTCAATAGGTACCATGAACTTGGACCCAACCATTGTCCCCTTCTTCGCTTGTGTTATGTTCTTTTCATTGTTATTTTACCACAACATGGATAAAAAGAAACATTCATTAAAATGATTATTAAAATGACGAAAGTCATTGATTAAAAAATAAAAAATTAAAAAAAAAAAGTAATAAAAAAAATAATAAAGTAGAATGTGGATGTGCATGTATTGATTAAAATATCATTCATTTATACTTGTTTGATTCAAGTTAAAAAACATTAATCAACCAAAACAAGTAAATTTGATTCAAGTTCAAAAACATTAATCAACCAAAACAAACACTTACAAACCAATAATCATTTATCGACAAAAAAAAGAAAACAAAAATAGTATAACTACTCGTTAATATCTATCGGCCTTTTTCCCTTTCCATTTTGGGTGCGTATGTCGTCTTCCAACTCTAATACATATCATAAAAAAAATTAATATGAAAGTTAGCATATAACCAATGTTTTGTTATTAGATAATAAAATGAATTTGTTTGCTACCTTTAGCTATGTCATCATCTTTAAGAATATCATCGATGTTGTCAACAATTGGCTTCTTTGATTTCATCACCCAATCTTGGGTGCAAACCAAAGCCTCTATTATAGGTGCGGACAAGTTTGCTTGGTAACTATCAATTATGCGACCGCTTGTACTAAAAGCGGACTCGAAAGCCACAGTAGATTTCGAATGCCCAAAAGATCTAATAACATAAACATATAATGTTAAATTATAGGGATAATGACTTGAAAGGGTAACAAGCTTTCGATTTTTGTCACATTTAGTCACTAAACTTTTTTTCGTTATTTATTTGTCATTGAACTATTGAAACTGTTCACATTTTACCCTTATGACCGGCTGTTGCCGGTCATAAGGGTAAAATGTGAACAGTTTCAATAGTTCAATGGCAAACAGATAACGAAAAAAAGTTTAGTGACTAAATATGAACAAAATCGAAAGTTCGTTTCCCTCTAAAAAGTTCAATGACTAAATGTGAACAAATCTCCTCTTGTGTTATGTTTTAGCAAATTATTTATTTTTGTTAAATTGTAGCAACATTTGTTGATGAAGAAATCTATGAAATAAAAAAAAAAAAACAAAACAAAACTCTGAAAATATATTTAAAAAAAAAACAAAAACCAAAACCACAATAAAAAACCAATGGTTTGATATTTTCCAAAATAAAAAATCAAAATTTCCAATCTAATGGTTTTACAAAAAAATAAACCATTCTCACTGATGTGAATTATAACCATTGGTTTGGCATTCGAAATTTGTGACATCCCATGAATATGTAGTTATAACATCGTCTGAAATCGTAATTCATAGTAAGGGGTTAGAGTATCATCACATGAATACGTAGTTACAATATCACCTGAACTCGTAATTCATCACCTACAGGTTATGGGTCTGCTGGTGTTTCCACTGGGTTGTCTAAAATAGTTTGTGGTCGCCATCTATACTTTGGTAGATGACTACATCGTCACATTGCTAGTAAAGGTTATGGTATCTCCTTTCATCCTACATCACATATTCATCACCATCTATTTACGTAATTATCACCACCTTTCTATCATCATCTATCTCTCATCATTTTATTTCATCACACACCAACTATTTGATCATCTACCCATGTTTCATCCGCAACATATTTGTAGATATAAAATAAATATACCGTTTAAATCTTTTAAAACATGTATAAAATCGTTCATCCAGCATAGACATCAAGTATTCAAATAATATGCGCACATGACACGTAATTTATATAAAATACTTCATATCTATGTGTAAGATGAAAGTAACTATATATACCATAAATGCTTCCTAACTTTGAACCCCAATGTTTACTCTACTAAAGCTTCATATTCTCGGCTCTCTGAACCTAGAAGGGTCCAATCTATCACACCAAAAAGCTCAAGATAGCTCTTCCTCTCACTCTACACACTCAAGCCCGCTAGGGTTCTCACTTATGGGAAAGGTAGTCGCAATTGAAGGCTATAAGTGCCTTTAAATATGGCTCGAGCCCAAAGATTTAGGGTTTCTGCCAACAGTGCGGACTCGTCGAGTCGCCTCACCGACTCGTCGAGTCTATTCATTAATCTGAGTCATCAGTCGCGACCTTACTTGACGAGTTGAGGCGTCAACTCGTCGAGTCTCTATTCTTAACTCAAAAGAAAAATACTTAAATGATGATACCTGGAAATCCGGATGTTACATTTTGTTTTTTTATTTCATAGATTTCTTCATCAACAAATGTTGCTACAATTAAACAAAAATAAATAATTTTACTAAAACATAATACAATAGGAAGTTTGTTCACATTTAGTCATTGAACTTTTTAGAGGGAAATGAACTTTCGGTTTTGTTCACATTTAGTCACTAAACTTTTTTTCATTATCTATTTGCCACTAAACTATTGAAACTGTTCACATTTTACCCTTATGACCGGTAACAGCCGGTCATAAGGGTAAAATGTGAACAGTTTGAATAGTTCAATGGCAAATAGATAACGAAAAAAAGTTTAGTGACCAAATGTGACAAAAGTCGAAAGTTCGTTACCCTTTCAAGTCATTATCCCTAAATTATACTACATTATAATAAAAAATATAAGTAATTAAAATTATACCTTTTCCATCCGCGAGAGAATTGGGTAACGAGATGCGTTATTTTTCCACCAAACCAATATATCAAAGTCCTTAACGCCTTGGGTTTGTCCTTCGTTCAAGTATCGTGTTAATTCCGTTTCCTTTGAAACCGATGAATTCACCGATTGAGCAAAATAGTCATCCACAAAGTCGTCATCATCATCAATATGCACAGCATCTTGACTACCACCGGTTTTAAATGGTACATTAGAGTTGGTATTGTAACAATTAAAAAAGTTCTCAAATCTCGATTCAATATCCTTGATTAAAGACTTAGTCTTCGCAGTAATATCTAATTCGGAAAGGGGTTTATTTTCCGGCATCTTGTACTTGATCAATGTTTCAAAAGCATGTCTAAGAAATTCTGTCTTCATTCGCAAATCCAAGATAGTCGCAAAGTACATGTAGTCATTCAAATTTTCAAAATCTCCCCAATACTTCTCATATTTGTCTATCATATCCTTCCCAATTGAATAAAATCGTTTGTTTTTTGACCAAACCCGTATATGATTGTAAATGCCACATACTTCTCCAAAAAACCGATTTGCCAATGGTTTTGAAGTCGTTGACACCAATTCTTTTTCACCTTGAACTTCTCAAGAAAGGAGACCATTGCTCGACAAGTTACAAAATCTTCACTCACGGGGGTTACCACATCTCGTGCAAAGGAACGATCTATCAAAAAAAAGTTACAAAAAAAAATTAATATATCATTTTGGGGGGTTGTGAATGACTCTGTACATATGCAAATAAGGTGTTTCCAAAGTCTATAACTATTGCCAAACAGTGAAATACAATTTTTTAAAAAAAAACAGCCCAAATGGATTCATAACGAAGTAGATATGACAGTTTAAAGTTAACGAAAAATTCTAAAATAATGCTGTTAACATATTCAAAACAGCTTTGAAATATCATTTTTCGAGGGCTGTAACTTACTCAAACCACATGCAAATTAGGTGTTTCCAAAGTCTATAACTATTACCAAACATTGAACTACAACTTAAAAAAAATCAGCCCAAACGGATTCATAACGAAGTAGATATGACAGTTTAAAGTTAACGAAAATTCTAAAATAATGTTATTAACATATTCAAAACAGCTTTGATATATCATTTTTCGAGGGCTGTAACTTACTCAAAACACATGAAAATTAGATGTTTCCAAAGTCTATAACTATTGCCAAACATTGAACTACAACTTAAAAAAAATCAGCCCAAACGGATTCATAACGAAGTAGATATGACAGTTTAAAGTTAACGAAAATTTCTAAAATAATGTTGTTAACATATTCAAAACAGCTTTGATATATCATTTTTCGAGGGCTGTAACTTACTCAAAACACATGCAAATTAGGTGTTTCCAAAGTCTATAACTATTGTCAAACAATGAACTACAATTTTAAAAAAAAAATCAGCCCAAGCGGATTCATAACGAAGTAGATATGACAGTTTAAAGTTAACGAAAAATTCTAAAATAATGTTGTTAACATATTCAAAACAGCTTTGATATATCATTTTTCGAGGGTTGTAACTTACTCAAAACACATGCAAATTAGGTGTTTCCAAAGTCTATAACTATTGCCAAACAATGAACTACAATTTAAAAAAAAAAAATCAGCCCAAACGGATTCATAACGAAGTAGATATGACAGTTTAAATAGGGCTAAAAATTCAGCAAGAATACAGAAAAAAAATTACCTTCCATTTCATACTCGTAGAAAGCCTTTTCTAAATCCACCGCGATCTTCAATAAGTCGTAAGTTGAGTTCCAACGAGTGGGACAATCGTTGCACAAAAATTTGGTTGATTCCACCCCGACGGCTTTCATGCACTTTTTAAATAAAGCAATCCGTTGTGTGAACTTTCTAATATATCTTACGGCGTCTTGCAAACATTTAACACTCTTGTCATTTTTATTCATCCCGTCTCTCACAATTAGATTGATAATGTGTGCCATACACCTAATGTGAAAGTGTTTTCCTTCATTGTACAAGTTTGGTAATTTGTTTTTTAGAAACTCTATTGCTTTGTCATTAGAACTTGCATTATCAACCGTACAAGTCATGACATTTTTAATACCCCACCCTTGAATACATTTCAACACTTCTTTTCCGATATCTTCCCCCCGTTGACTATCTAATTCTTTAAAGTTGATTATCCTTTTGTGCATCTCCCAATTATCATCAATAAAGTGTGCGGTAATGACAATATAATGCACCCTTTTACTCGGACTTGTCCAACAACCGGTGGTCAAATGAACCGTGTTAAGTGGATTACATAAGAATGTTACCAACTTATTTCTTTCTTCTTGATAATAAAGTGACACTTTTTTTGAAATTGTTGTTCGACAAGGTACAACCACCTTCCTGTTTAGTGCGTTTGTGTATTCAATAAAGGCCTCATTTTCTACAAATTTAAAAGGTAGACCACCCATTACAAACAAATTCAACATAGCCTTTTTAATTCGTTTGTCGTCATGTTTCCAAGTGCTAACACTACCCTCCCCGTTTGGTTCTTTTTTAAATTGTAATGTTTGTTGGTTTTTCAAATTCTCGGGGTTTTGCTTACAATTATTTGCATGCTTATTTAAGCTAGATGTACCGATATTATTCCTGTCGGCTTTGAGAACCCTCTCGCACCATTTGCACTTTCCATGCCGAACTCCATCAATAAAAATCTTCTCAAATGATTTCCAACAATCGGACCTTGTTTTGCCTACTCTTTTTCTCTTTTGTGTTGGTTCCTCATTGATTTCTTGTTGAGTGTTGTCAACAAACACCTCGTCATCATCAAGCTATAATAGATAATAATAAAAACACAATTAAAATACAATAACACAACTTAATTCATAAACTTGGCCTACAATACATGACAATTAAGTCTCATCCATACTTGAACCACAAAAAATAACACAAATTGATTCATAAATTTAACCTACAAAACATGACAATTAAGATTATGTTTATTAAGTAAATCATAAATAGTCCAGTGAAAAAGGTGAAACATCTATATTTTAGGGATATTAAGTGGGTCACTGGGATACCTTTGCTAGGAAATAGGTGCATGAAACAAATGTGTTAACTAAGCACATGCTGGGTAAGTGGGTATTATGCAACTTTATGAATTTAAAATAACAATTTTATCCTTTGATTATCAAGTCTTTACCAAAAATGTTAGGGGTATTTATGTGGAATTGTGGATTAACCGGAAGCCATTGATAAGCATATGTCACGTGTTTCTTATACCTTTTCTTCTTTTCTAAAGTTTCAAGATAGAGAAGTTGTATTTTGACTTTAGGAATCAAATTGTTTGACCAAAAAGGTCAAACTGCACAAAATCAAGATTGGAACTTAATTGTGTATTTTCATTGTATTTTGACTTTAGGAATCAAATTGTTTGACCAAAAAGTTGTATTTTGACTTTAGGAATCAAATTGTTTGAATGTCTAGTAACTCCAAACGTCCACCATTGTTGCGATCACAATGAAGGGCAAAAAAAAAAAAACGAGTTGTGTATCTTCACAAGACATGAAATCAAAATTCTTGACACTTACTTGTGTATCTTCATTGTTATCTATCCAATTGTCCACCATTGTCAATCACAAAGAGGAATTGGTGTTGTCGTCGATCACAATTGTCCACCGATTTGTTGTCGTCGATCACAGCAGAAAAAAAAAATGAGATGGAATGTGAGGATCCAAAAAGAGTCATCCCAAGTAGGGATGAAGATCGTCGATCACATATAAGGGCCAAACTTCCGATGCTGAGCAGAGAAAAAAAGTCGTCACTGGAATGTAGAATTGTCGATCAAATAAGAGGGATAACTCTTAAGTTCCGGTTCTTTTACCCTCACCGGTTCCTTGGCCCACTAAACCCGGGTTCGGTTTTTTTAAACATATCCGGTTCAAAAAAACCCGGATAACCCAGACCCGTTGGACCCATACCCGAAATACCCGGAACCCGGTTAAGAGTAATTTTGGAACCCAATACCCGGACCGTTTAAGCATTTTCCGGTTATACCGGTTCCGATTCCGGTTCGATTCCGGTTCCGGTCCGGGTTTCCGGTTTTATAACTCATCCCTAGTGAGAACGATTAGAATTTAGTCAATTTACTTAGATTTTATATAATAGTAAATCAAAATAATAAAAAAGAAAAAACAAATAAATAGGGGTATTAATAGTCATTTTACGCTATCAGGGACCCAACGCGTAACAAAAATACATTTTAGGGACCGTCCGAATAATAATAATAATAATAATAATAATAATAATAATAATAATAATAATAATACTAAAACTTTTATTTACGTTTATTTAAAACCAGAGTTTATTTATTTGTGGAATTTGGTCCTATAAAAATATTTCCATTTTTTTTTTCATTTATTATTAAACATTGGGATGTTATAACTAATACAAAAATATAAATATAAATAAATATAAGTATAAATAGGTCTTACATCAATATTCTAGCAATCTACGAACTCCTTCAATTCTCTCAGTAAATAATTATATATCAGTACCTTCGTATCGTTACATATGATACAAAGAAACTTAGTGGGTCGGGTTGAGAAACTTGGTGAGATACATAGGGGTTTCAACCCACAATATTATAATCTTTAAATATATACTCTTCAGCATTCAAATAACCCAATTACCCCACTCCATTTATTCTCACTTAGTAATCCTAATATGATGACCTCGAGGGATCTTTCTTAAATGATCTTTATCAGCAGACAACTAAATTTCTTAGATGATTAAGCACGAGGATGATAATACTTTGGGTAAACATGACAGTTCATTAGTACTTTGGATAGTCACGGTTGGTACGACAATATAATAGTATTTTGGTTAAGCACGGTAGTACAAAAGTACTTGGGATAAACACGACAGTATAATAGTATTTTGGTTAAGCACGGCACTACAAAAGTACTTGGTATAAGCACAACAGTAAAAAAATACTTTGGATAAGCACAACAGTACAAAAGTACTTGGGATAGACACGACAGACACAACTTATTATTTCGCACGGCTTTCACTAACCTATCATAACCATTATTTCACACAACCCTATCACAACCTCTCATTTGTTATTTCACACAACCCTTCACTACCCAAACATATTATTAAGTATGATAAATATATGATTAAATCAAGTAAAAAATCATATTGTACAACTACGTTAAACACAACAAAGTCAGCATACATGGCAATTAAGCATTTAGAAAACTAGTATTTATATGTAAGTAGATACTAACTGCGCACTCACCTGACTTAGGTGAATGATTGGTATTTTGGAAGAACTTTGCCTAACACCTTTAGCTTTTTCTTTGACATGACCTAAATACGGATATTATTAAATTTTAGGTTTATATACTTAGCGTCTAATGATAGTCACAATTACTCACTAATCTCAATGTCTACATCGAGATCTATCAATTAAGGATTAACCAGATGGGACAGTTGGGAGGCAGAATTGTTTCAGCATATAGTCTTTCTAAAATCTAACAACCAAGCCAATGTGACCATTCTTGACACATATCCTGTAAGTAGACCAATAGTATATGACTCGAAATTACTGATCAATCTTATTTATAGGTTCATAATAATGACTATGACTTATAAACATAAATTACACTGAAATAAGGATGAATGTAATTTAACTTACATAGATTTCCCAGAAAAAAAATCTAAAAATTACACTGGCAGAGCTTCTACTTGCTAAGGGGAAATAGGCTAAAATCGAAAGCAACTTGAGAGAGAAGAACTTGGGAGGCGTGGGAAGATAATGAGCTATTGGAGACTATTTATAGATGATTTATAAATATAAATTACACTGAAATAAGGATGAATGTAATTTAACTTACATAGATTTCCCAGAAAAAAAAATCTAAAAATTACACTGGCAAAGCTTCTACTTGCTAAGGGGAAATAGGCTAAAATCGAAAGCAACTTGAGAGAGAAGAACTTGGGAGACGTGGGAAGATAATGAGCTATTGGAGGCTATTTATAGATGATTTTTGGGGTGCACGACTTGCAAATGGGTGCATGTTGCGCATTTTAAGGCGACGTCTCCCCAGCTGCTTTGTGTCATGTGTCGGCCACTCTGTGGTCTACATTTTCACCTTCAAGAAGCGTGCGTCGTGCACCTGGTGCCCACAGCACACGACGCAAAATGTAGATTTTGTAAATTTTGTAACTTCTTCATACAAACTTCGTTTTTTACGTTCTTTATATCCCCGAAAAACTCTCGATGAGATCTACAACTTTGCTTTAGACCCCAAAAAGCCAATTCTTAATTTATTTTTCATCCATATTTTTATAAAATTAAATGATTTTGTTAAAATCATAACTCTCTCGTACAGAATCCATTTTTGACATTCTTTTTCTCAAAATTCTTATCTTAAAAAGCACTATCATTTTTCTTTTATGGCTTTAGCTAAAGGTCAACCACTTTCTTCGTAGCTTTTTATGTCACACATTCCTTGTTCGCGGATAAATTTTATATCTTATAAAAATCATATCTAATTCATAAGGAGTCAGATTTCTACGAAATTTATATTTACAAGATGGGGACAAAGTGTAGTTTATATCTATATATATCTATATATATATATATATATATGTGTGTGTGTGTGTGTGTGTGTGTGTTTTGGCGCACTCATTTTTACGATTTACGGAAGGTTTGGTTTATTTTTCATAATATGAAACTTATATTATATAGTATGTGGGGCGCACGACTATAAATTATCCTATTCAACGATTTAAATTTTAATAATTATTATTTATGATGTGTCGCCCGAATCTACGGGTGTTACAACATACATGTATCGGCCTTCAACACAAAGTTGGTCTGACCCTCCCCTTGGCCTTCAGCACAAAGTTGTTCCACCCGTAGCCTTCATCATAAATTTAGTCTGCCCCGAGTATCTTGGCCTACAACACATAGTTGGACAGCCCTCAACTCATCATAAAATATGTCGACATATAAATATAACAAATAAATAAACAATCCAACACCACCGACAACTAACAAACTAATTTGCATGCCTAATAACATACATCAACACAATCATATCCTAATATACTAAGGACTCATACATTACTCTACAAGCTATTATTTGAAAATCCATCAAATGACTGCATAAGTGTATGTAACAGAGATAAGATAGACAGATGAACAGATGATTCGACCCTAAAGCCACAACCAAACAACGAACAGGCAGTAAGGCATAGATTAAGAGCTCTCACGCTATCTTATTTGACTACATACAACCCCAAAGACATTTACTCAGCGATCACCAATAAGATCTACCTTCCAACCAACATATCAGCATACACAATACTATACTAGTTTGCTCGCCCTAACAACATACTATCACCCCCTTTACATCCTATCATACAAGTAAATATAGTGTAACACATAGTATAATGAGGAGACTTATCTGAAGAAACAAACACATAATAAAACCATTGAAGTGGCTAAGATGAAATCCTTTTCTGAACACCTACATTCCATATCAAAACTCTACTTAAATCATTTCTAGATAATACACATATTGAACTTTATTTATACTTTTACTTCAGAACCCTTCTTGTATTATCATGTTGTACACATACCTTTGGTTATATGATTATGTAAGTGTTAAACCACACACTTTATACATCTTTTTATACATACATTAAGTTGAATGATTCAAAACATATTCTTAAGTTTACACACACCAAACACACACAACCTTAAACCGAGGATTACTTCTTGTTTTAAACACTCACACCCAACCAAACTTGTAATACATTATGTGGGTTATGTTGTTTACATTAAGACTTAGCTAAAATCAGATTTCATGAACCAAAAGCATTCACAAGGTGAGCTCTATGATTTGTAAGTTTCGGGACAAAACTCAAATAAAAAGGAATTGTTTCTTGGTATATGGCTAGATAATTACGTCAAACAGTTTAAGCCTATTGATAAGGATTTTTGGCCAACATAAAAACCATAACGCATGTTTATAAGACGCATTGTGTTCATGGATTCATCCCATAATTTTATTTTTATCTATACTTTAATCCTTATCCCTATCAACATTTTAGTCATTATCATCTTTTTTAGTCCTTCTCAGCATGTTTATCCTTATCAGCTCCATCCATCCCATTTTGCTCCTTTTTTCAAACCAATGATAATTTCCTACAAAATTGCGAATATGAACAATATAAGTACGTTTTATCTTTAAACACATTAAAATACAGCTCAAAATAGTAATATAGCGTGTGAAATATGTGTATAATTTAAGCATTATCATCAGCTACTAACAAACAAGGAAACCACTTTTAAACACAAAAATTCATTCATTGACAAGTTTATTCATATTACAAAAAAGTGATAGTAATTTTTAATGATTTCCATGTATTCCCCTTTGGTACTTATCCAATTTGTAGGATGTATTGTTGTTATGGAGTTTGGACTACTTTGAAAGTATGAGTCATAAGGGGAATTTTATGAATAATGGTTTCAATTCGGACATGCAACAATTAATGTTCTTCCAACATGCTATCAAAGATCTATGAGGGACATGACTGAAAAAAGTGAAAAGGA